ATAGCATAGTCCTAGATAGTAATGTCGAAAGATATATGTAAATATCATTATTGAATAAATACTCAGCCAGACAATTATCGTTAGTGCACTTTAAAAAAAAAAAAAAAAAAAAAAAAAAAAAGATAATATAATGAAATTAATTATTCTATTACAATATTACTAAAAATTCAAGAATTATATGTAAATTTATAAACTTATAATAAAATATATTGTTATATTAAATTAAAAATTAATAAATATTTTCTAATTATAATTTAATTATAAGCAAAAAAAATAATTTTATAATACATATAAAAACAACTATAAAATTAATTTTAATATAAAAAATTTAATATTTAATATATTGTTAAAATATAAAAAATATATTAATATTATTACAAATAAATTATATTAATAAACATAATAATATATATATATATTTTTGCAAATAGGTATTAAATGTAAGATATTTATTAAACTTTCATTTTTTATTATTACATTAATAATTTCTAACATACAGAATAAGTAGATTAATTTTAGCCTATTGCAAGTAAAGTTGATATATACAAATCTTTGAGAATCCAAGTAGAAGGAAATAAAAAAAAAAGATAGAAAATAGCTAACTACTAGTTATATTGTAAACCCTATATATGTGCTCCATAAGTAGTGATGATAAGGAATGGTACAGTGCTTGGATTTTGGATTATGGCCTAAATCTGTATAACCATATGGCTCAAGAGAATATAATTAAAAGTCGAGAATCTTATTTAAATTAGTGATCTGGATATCAATATGGCATGATTAACTTATGTTAATTTTTTGATAAAAGTAAGCTACTTATGATTTTTTGTTAAAAAAAAATTTGGAAGCTGGATAAAACAAGAAAACAGTTCTGTGGTCATTCTTCTTGAATAATATATGGAATGGTGATATTGTCAGGTATTTAAGATAGAGTTGCTTATAACTGTATACTTCTAATATACTGATTAGCAATCTAGATTCTTATCAAAGCAAATCTTTATATGATTGGTACTGCTAATCAAATTTTTTTCTTTTATAATCTTTTCTCACATTTGATTGACTTGATATATAGTTATTGATTATGGAAAGGTATATCTAGAACTTTTAGAATAATAAAATCAACAGCTTTCTCATGACTCAAACCTTTTAATTAGAGTAAAACTAAGTTAATCTTTTTTGTGTTAAGCTCTTTAGAACAAGAGAAGAAATATTAATAAGAAGCCCATATTCCTTAAGCAAATAAGATGTCAACTTGAGTAAAGTTGATAGCTTGGTTAAGATAGAAAGATGACAAACCAGAGGATTGATAAAATGAAATAATAAAAGAATGAAAAATCTAGAATGAAAATCTTTAAAGAAAAGAAAAAACTGTTTATTAGCAGAAAAGGGGATTTGAGAAAAAGAAAAAAAAAAATTAATTGCTCTCATATTTAAATTACCAGATATATATAGAGTCTCGCAAGAAAAAGATTGACCTTCCCAAAATCTTTCTAATTCTTGTCTCAGACTGTTGTTATATGTAGAAATTGGTCTGTTTATGCTTTCCTAAATATGAGTACTTCTTCTAAGTATACTGTTAGACAGTTAGCGAAGCCTCATGTAGTGTTAATATATTTCAGACTTAACCTGCTGCAAGTTTTCATTTTTAGCAAAAAAAGAGAAGCAAAAGGAAAGGTGAAAAAATTTTCTAAAAAGAAAGTTTTCTGACAAAGTGGTGGTCAGTAGAAAAGAGTTTTTTTTTAAAATTTAAGTATAATATTATTTAAATTAATAAAAATAAAATATTTTATATAAAAATTTATAATTATATTTGTTTAATTATATAATATAATATTATTTATTTAAATAATATATAATTGTACTAATATTAAAAAAATTTTTTTGTTATTTTTTAAAAACTAAGTTAAAATATATTGTTATTATATGATTTTTTTAAAAAATATATATTTTTTTATTAGAAAATTATAAGTAAGCTAATATTATATATAATAGAAATTTGAAATAAAAAAAAAAAAACTTGGAAAAAATTTTATAAGGTTCTCTATATAACTAATTATTATAAATAGAAATTAATTTTTAATTTTATAATTTTTAAGTTTAATTTTATTAATTTTAATTATTATAATTTTATTAACTTTTTGATTTATTATTATTTTATTATAGTTAAGTAAACAATTTATTTAAGTTGTAACTATACTTGTATATAATATAACTTTTTTCAAAAAAAATTTTTTATTTCAGAAAATTTAATTTTTTTAAAAAAAATTAAATTAGTATATTTTTAATTAAAATATTTAAATTTTTTGTAAATAGCAAGTTTTATACTTTTTTAACCATATATTTACATGAGTCTAGATCCAATTCAAAATTCAAGTCACATTTTTTCTTTCATTTATCATATCAAGTAAGTATATATATACAGATATAACATGATTAATAATTAATAATTATTTATTCCTTTTTTTCTCTATAAGGGTTTCACATATGTCAACTGCTTTGACAGGCTATAATTATCTTACTTTATGTAAAGATCATTAATGCAGTGATATCAAACAAAGTTTAATAATGAACTATGTAAATGCTCGTCAAAAAAAAAACGGTGTTGATATTTAAATATTTTAAAATTTTAAAATAAAAGTTTAAATCGATTATTATTATTATTATTATTATTTTGCTTTTAATATAATTTTATAATTGACATTCGATTAATTTCAACTATTGGATACTGAGTGGTCACAATGTTATCGCGTTGTGATTGATTGGATTTTATATTGTATAAAAAAAAAATATGCATTTAAAAAGAAAATTGACAAGTCAAATAAAAGTGCGACATTGATTTTTTCAACCATTACACGACATAATCTGTCGATAACAACGGATTCGACGTTTAATTAGTGTACCATATATCAAGATTTATTATTATGTAAAAATGTATATTCGATATCATGTTTAAAGAAAACTTACGCAATACGGAAAATTTGATTTTAAACATGTCCGAAGCAACTCCAAGGCGATTTTCCATGCATGAGATTATCGTTACTATATTCGTCCTCCGGTTTTTCATTATTAAATAGGGTGTTTAATTAAACCATTTATTTAATAATTCATATATTTAGCATGTAAAAATATTTTGAATTATAGTTATCGCCGATTCGAAAAAGAGAATCTTTTGTAAAGGCATTGTAAGTTTCTTTTTTTATCAAGTAATAATTATTTCGAAGAAAAGTCCAAAATTTTAGACTCTTTGGGTTAATAAGACATGGCTTCGAAATTCCAAACAATTATCTAATGGAAAATCAAGGCCGAGCCAATTAATTACGCGTGTACACACAAGCTAGCCGCATAAGGTTGTTAGGCTTGTCACATGATTAATTTTAAATCATTCTCGGGACGAATTGTATCTAACCATAAAATACTACAGTACTTTGTGTTTCTTTCAATTTATAATACAATTCAAATACCAGGGTTGCAATTTGTGGTCCTAAAATTTATCTGCCTGCCTTTGAAAAACAATAATCGAATCGTAAATTAGAAATCAATTGTGTTAGATTTCACAGACATCTAATCCGTTTCATATTTAATAAACTGTTGTGATTCATTCATTACAGATATGAGAAATGAGGGGTAAGAAAGAATTTGACCAGTGACTTGTGTCTTTGTTTTGTGTAGAATACCTGCTTAATTAACGCTATCAATAAGATTCCTGATTATATGTATCACGAAAATTTTCTCTTTCCTTTCATAGCATAAAAATTAATTAACCGAATAATGTTTTAATTTATTTTATAACATAATATGCTAATGTAATGCATCTTATGAATGAGGCGCGAATGTATAAATATCAAGAGCATGTATTAATTACTCACACCACTTTACGATTTTTCCTTTCTTCTCTTTTACTCTCTTTTTAAAAAAGGATCGCTAGCCGACCTTAAGAGAACTTTACGCACAAAATTCACCTCTTTCCCATCTAAACATCAACATCATTTCTTTCTCTTATATTTAATCTTTTATTTACATCTCAGCTTTTTAAAAGAATATAATTATGATTCTACCACGTCATTCCATGTTATTCATTACAGTCGCAGCAATATTCCTCTTCATAAGCCCAATTCAATCCTACCCATCTCCTCAAGAATATGCAGAACGGCGTTCTGCACAAGTATTTACCGGAGATGGCACTTTTTATGATCCGGGATTGGGTGCTTGCGGAATTACCAGCTCTCCAAATGATTTTATTGTTGCTCTCGTATGTATTTATGAAGTTTGCTATTTGTGAAATTTTTTAATTGTCTTTAAATAACATCTAATTGATTTATTAGAATAAAGAACAATTTGATTCGTTTCCTGGAAATCCAAATTTCAATCCCTTCTGTGGTAAGCAAGTGGCTATTTCATTTGGCGGAAAAACAATTACTTGCACAATTGTCGATAGGGTATGTATTTATTGTTATTTTTGTTATTCTTTCTCAACAGAACTGAGATTTTACGCAGGTTTTTCTAATTCTCTTGCCTGATAATTCTAAAGTGCGATGGATGTTTATTTGGATCACTTGACCTGTCCCCTGCTGCATTCCAGTAAGCATCTTTTTTTTTAAAAAAAGAATCGTTTTGTACAAACCAAGATATATTCTAATTCACTACTCTCCAACAGGGCCCTGGCGGATCCAGGCTTAGGCAGAATAAAAATTTCTTGGTCATTTTGCGATGGAAATAACCCACCACCTGACCATGGTTCTGATGGCCCAGAACATCCTGACCATGGCCCCGACAGTAAAAAGCATCCTGATCATGGCCCCGGTAGTAAAAAGCATCCTAATCACGAGGACGTTCCTGATACAACCACCACTCCCGAGATCGCTTCCGATATTACCCCTGATACTACTACTCCTGATGTTGATGCACCCACCGACGATTCCACTCCAACTACCACCACCCCAACTACCACCACTACCGATGTCGTCGTCAATGTCGATTCCACTTCGATCACCGCCACTACCAAAGTCGATGCCAATTCTATCACTACCACTACCGAAATTGATGTCGATCCTACCATTACCACCACCGCCGATGTCGATGTCGACACTATCACTACCACCATTCCCACCACAATTGAACACCAAACAATTCATAAAATTCATAAATCGAATCATAAAAAATCAAGGCATAGACATAAAAAACATAGGCATCATCATAAACATATAAAAGTGTGCACAGATCATAAATAGTTAGGTGCATCTAAAAAAATCTAGGTCCATTTTTTGTCAATATTATTGCTTTCCCTAAAGATTAAAATGTACATTTATCTGAATTGTTCCAAGTAATTCAGGAATTATAAACAATTGGAAAACTTGAATAAATATATTATTGATATCTTTAAAAAGTTACGCATTTACTCAAAATACATTTTGTATATAAATTGCGACAGGTCATTCAATAAACTTGGTAATAAATTGGGGTTCAATTAATTATCTTAACACAATTACTTTGTACTTTACTATTTAGAACATTTTAAATCCCGTACAATTGATTCAAACCAAAGCTCTATTAAAATAGATTCCGAAAAAAAAATAATTTATATAATAACTTTGTAAATATACTGTATATACAATATATGAACTTTTGGTAAATTGCCATAATAATAATAATACTTTCTTATAAAATTAATAATAAATCATCTTTATAACTACATATTAATAAGTACAGAACATAAAATATATTAGTAAAAGTTTTTTAATAAAAAATACTAATAATAAATTTTGATTTTTTCAAAAGTTATTTGGTTTTTTATTACACAAGATAAATTTTTATTTGTAAACCACTTTACATTTGTATCTTGTCAATGTTCATTATTTTATTATTGATACTATATACATTTTTTGTTTTATTATTATTTATATTTTATATTTTTTGTTTTGATAATTTATTTAATAAAAATAAAAATTTTTTTAATAATATGCATTGCATATATTTTTTAATACTGGTTTATTGATATTTATAAATCAATTAATAATTGTAAAGAATTCTTTTTTAAAAAAATCTTTGAATAAAAACCATTAGTAAATTTTAATTTGACTATTTTTATATTTTTAAGTATTTCAAATAATTTTATTAATAATATGTTTTAAAGAATTTTTTGATAATAAATAAATAAGTTTATAATATTATTATTAATTGAAAAAAACATATTTTTCATAATATTACTTGGCAATTATTTATAAAAAAATAAATAATATTGTTAAATAAATTAATTTTACAAAATATAAACTTTAATTGTATTAAATAACTTGATATTATTAGAAAAAAAATGCTTGAATAAGATTTAATAATATAATATTTGTGTAATATATCTAATTAAAACAATAATATTATTCTAGTAAATAATCTTATGATACAATAGAATAAAAAATCCAAATAATTTATTTTATAGCATAATAATTTATAAGTTATAGTAATATAGTTTTATAGTATATAATAATAGTAATAGAAATAGAAATAAAAAAGTATAAAAAAAAGAAAACCAACTTTAATCATAATAAAAAATCTAATTAATTAATATTCTTTTCTATTAAAAAAGGGAATATAAAACAATTATGTAATACTAAAATATTGATTAAAAATTACTATAAGTGATAATATAATAAATATATCTAAAAAAAAAGTTATTAATTAACTTATCTTTCTAAAATATTTGAAACTTGAAATATCTTAAGTTTATAATTTTTTATTATATCTAAAACATATAATATATATTGTACAAATAATATATAATATATAATATATAAATATATAATAATTAATTTCAAAAAATATTTAATATTATTATAGTATAATTTTACAAATATCAATTGTTTTATATTGTTTTATATTTGGTTTCTTTAATTATTACTATAGAATTATAAAAATATCAGAGTAATTAAAATAAAATATTAACTTTATTATTATTATTATTATTATTATTATTTAAAAGAGCAAATAGCTATTATGCTTTATTTTATTAATTATAAATTTAAACTTGCAAAGCAAAATTACAATTATTAATAATATAATATATATTTTTCTTTGTTAAAAGGAGTTAAATGCAGGCTTATAAAATAGTTATACCTCTGTATTTCTTGATACCACTCAAGAAATATAGTAAAAAAAAATTTAAAATTTATATTATAATCTTAAATAATATCTAGTTAACTTAAAAGTATTTGAATATCTAATTATATAAAGGCATTGCAACTATTTTATACAAGTTTAATTCCAAGTCATAAATAGAATTGATATACTTGCTTCTCAAATATAAAATGATATTCAGTAGATAAAGTAATATTGAAAATAGTTAAGTTGTGATTATCTTTTCATATAAAAACACTATAACTACTTTATACAGATTTGTTTTAAGTCACAAGAAAAATTTGATACATTTATTTTTTAAGTATAGTAAAAATATCCTATAGGTAGAGTTTTGTATTGAAATTTCTTAAAGGTATTGATATCTAATTTTGTACAATAGACCTATATTATCAAAGGATAAGTAAGAAACTTTTATTGTTATCACTAGTTAATATTATAAGAGTAACTAGAATCTCTGATTTTTATATATTATCCTATTGGATTTTTCCAATTACCAGCATAACACCTATAATTAACTTAGTTTTATTGTTAACTATATTGGCATTGGCTAACATATTTTTTTGGATATTGTAAAGCACAATTTTTTGAATACTTTTGAATAATAATAATATACACTGGTTTCTTAGATATATCTAGTCTTATCATTAACAAATAAATAATATCAGATAAGACCTGTGGGTCCATAGCACAGTGGTTAGTGCTCCACAGGTCAGATCACAAGATACCGGTTCAACTTCATGTGAAAGCAGTTGAACAGTATCACATGGTATCTGGCACTATAACCTAATATGTGCTGTTTCTCATGCGAAGCCATCTCACACGCTGATCCAGTGGGTGTTGAGATTGTAATCTCCAGTTAAGATGTCGTGGCGCGTCGATCGTCCGGTTGGTGTTACGATGATCACACTACATTTGGTGCATTTCCCAGTTCCCACAGGTCGCTTCCCTCCCCTATAGTCCACGAGACTATAAAAAGAATCCTTTGTAAACAGGTTTCAACGGGTTCCCTGCTCATGTCGTATACAATCACCCAACACCCCCCTGGCATGGCAGACTCCATGCAAAAAGACAAAAAGAAATTAACTCTAAGCCAATCTATCCCAATATGGAGCTTGTAGGTCTATCCCAATATGGTATTCCACAAGGAACTTAATAATATGGCCGAAGGGTAAGGCATCAGCACAGGTGGTGTGAATCTAGGCAAAAATCATTAAGCCAAGTGTGTCTAGTGAGGACCTACAAGATTAAATCAGAATCCAAGCAAGGACACCAGTTTCACAGGTGGTAAAAACGGTAGTGCTGCACTACACTAGTAGCACGACTCGAGGATTGGTGATAACAGTGACTGGAATACTGTGGTTAGTCTCTATAATAATATTCCATAACAACTTGCTCCCTGCAATAATGGACCAGCAGGTTTAGGTGGGTTTAAACTAGTAGTAGGATTCCCCCCCCTGCGAAAGTCCCACCTGGAGTGTGAACACATCTACGTAATAGTTGAACGCATAGCCAGGTTACATTAGTGGTTAGTGTAGCTAGTCTTATAGAAATATATGTACTAATGCAGTGTTAAGCTGCAGATTAACTGTAGAAGATATAAAGGTTGTAACACAACTTTATTCAAAAACCATTATGGTTAATTTGTAAAAGACACTTGGTGTCTATCTAGATATTATATATCAATAAAGATTACATGCCATGTACACGTTCCACTATAAAAAAAAATAAAATAAAATAAATAAGTATACTTGTTGTCTTTATTATTAAAAAAGTTGAATATATTTATATATATTTTTATTATTTTAATTACAGTATCTTAATTGTAAGAAGCTATCCAAATTCCTCTCTACTACTAAGATTTTTAAGGTTGAGACATAATAATTTGGTCTAAGTTTCTCCTTAAACTTTACAAAACAAACTTACAATTTATCAATATACAGTATATTTATAATAAACAATTACTTAAACTGTTTTTTAATTTTTGTTGCAAAAGTTCTTACTTTATTTTGAGATTTGGTCTTTTCCTTATATAAATACTAATATTATAGTAAAATTATAACAATTATTCTAACTATTCTAACTATATATGTTTTCTTATTACTATAAAAGGAAATTTGATTGACAATACAATTCTGAATTAAATATAATTTCCAATTACTTATTAATTATTACTTAGTAATATAAACATAATATAGTTTTTGAAAAATGCCTGAACTAAATATGAACACATGTATAATCCTAACTATTCTAACTATTCTTACTATAATTACTATAATCAAGAAAAAAACATATAACTAAACAACTATAGTGAAGATAACTCAGATTTTAAAGATTGGGATCATTATAACATTAGTTCATATAATAATATAAATCTTTTTTCATATAATTATCTTAATTATTTTTTTTATTATGATTATTTAATTATTTTTTTTATTCAATTATTAATTATTTTCATTATAATATTTAATATAAGTTTATATGGAAAATTGCACTTTTTTTTATAACAATATAAACAATTATCAAAAGTTTTTTTTATATTGTTACACTTGATTTTTGTCCAAGATTATCACTACCTCTTGTCTGATTTTCACTAGCATTTACCCTTGAAATGTTATCTATTCTAGAATAATTCTCATATTACTATTCTTGTTATTGTTTAGCATTGTACTTTTCATGCTATTGTTGCTTTAGAACATTTCCTATTTTATTTATTTATCTTAATTCTTTTGTTTTTGCCAAAATATTTGTTTCTATGTCAACACATATAGATAACTGTTCTAATGAATATAACACTTCTTTTATATCTCTATTATTTCTTATAACATATATTTATCATGTATAAAAATATTATAACTAAAACATGCATATAAAGGCTCCAATTTTGTCTAGAAATTGGCAAGCTTGAACTTATATTTTATTGAATAAATATCTTGACCTTTAAAAACAAATAACTATTGTCTTTTTTACCTGATCTCATATATTTCAGAATTGTACTAATTTGTATGTCTCTAGAAACTTTAGTATACCATCTTGATCCTATTTATATAAAGTGCCTCCCTGCTATTAGTTCTTCATCTTCA